ATATATATATTCTCAGAATATACTGAGAATTTTTATGTGTTTTATTTACTATTATGTTTAGTTCTATACATACCCAAGTACTATTACTTTCAAGCCTAAGCACATTAAGAAATCGACAGGGGAATACTGCGAGCTTTAAATCAAGTTTATGACTCTGCCAGGTTTGGGCAGGAACTGAAGAGGCCGACAAAGCTCTGTTAGCCACAAGCTGTGGAAACGTGGCTCCCAGTCCCATCATCACACCGAGAAACACATTCACAGCCGTGTTCCAGGCTCAGGGAGCTCCAGCTCAGGGCTTCTCTGCATCCTTTGTAAGCCGTAAGTAGCACTAACATCTGAAAGGTCCTGAAAGATGATGGCTGCCACAGTCAGGCTTTAGGAGCAGTGGGACATGTGGATGAGGGATAACTGGAACCAGGAGTTGAAGAGGAAGAATGGGGTTGCGTAAAGCATGGGAAGTCACCTAATCCTAAATTCCAAAATCAGTAAGAATGGAATTAAATTCAGTGGTAGATCAATTAGGAGATGATGTTCAAATATGTGAGTGCTACCAAAAACCAATTGCCATTGAGTCTGTTCCAACTAACGGTGACCCCATGTATGTAAGAGTAGAACTGTGTTCCATAGGGTTTTCAGTGGCTAATTTTTGGAAGTAGATTTCCAGACCTTTTTTTCAGGTCACTCTGGGTGCACTTGAAGTTCTAGCTTTTGGTTGGCAGCCAAGCATGTTAGCCATTTGCAATACCCATGTGCTCCTATGAATGCCACTAGTTAAGGTCTGAAAATAAGCCTAAAATCCTAAGTGGGGCAGGTATTCAGGAGGAACCCAGGAGGTCAGTAACCAGTTGACACCAGTGTGCCTAGCATGTGGCGCGTTCACCACTTACATCAAAATCACTTGGGTAGCTTTGAAAACACACAGATTATTGGGCCTCATCCCAGACTCAAATGAATTCAGAATTTCCATGGGTGAGGATTAGTTTTAGCTCTCGCCCAGATGATTCTCCAGCTCAGTAACCTTTGGAAGACATTTTATTCAAGATTTTCCTTTCCTAAGTCAATACATAGGCCCATTTCTCTAGCTAGTAAACATATATTAGGTTAGAGGAAAATTTAGTGGGTTTTTAAGACTAATAAGCAATAGTATGTGTTTGTTGACTGAATTAAATTAAGGAGCCAATAATTGCAAACAACCATTTAGGAAAAAGTTTGATTCAAGGAAATATTGTGGTAAACAGATAATTCAGATAGGAATGAAAGAATGAGAGTGGTGTAAAGGAAAGGATGAAAGGCAATCCAAACCTAATCTTAGGCTTTCAGTTGGTTTATGGTATAGTATGTGTATTTGTATGTAACTATGTGTGTTTTAATATCAGTTTAGAAGGATAGTTATTTTCATACTTGATAGATCAGAAAGTGATATGGTTATATGAAAGTAAATGTCATCTTAGTGACAAAAAGACATTTCTCTTTATTTCTGATGTCAGGAATTTTCACTAAATGAAATTGTACTGAGTTGGGACACAGTAGTAAATTCAGCTCTTTTGTTTTTCCTTTTTTTGAGTAACTGTTGTTTTTATGACCAGATTATAAGAGTAATTAACATAGTTTTTAAGAATATAATAATACATTTTTTAAAGCATTAAGTATATAAAGTATTGGCCAGGTGCAAATCACTTTACATCAGTTTTTTCTTTATCTACATAAATCATATTAAGTCTTTGCTAATTTATCCTTTCTTGAATATCTTACAATAAAATGATTTATAGTAAAAAGTCTACTGAGCCCGTAAAACTGTATAGCCTTTTCTAAAGCTATATATGATACTCTCATTTTGCATGTATATTTACTTTTAAATCAGAGGATCAGTCTCTTATTTATTGCTTCTTCCATTTGGAATATCTCAAAGGAATTGTGCTTGTAGAGAATTTAGGAAATTTAAGTCTTTCCTTAACTGATGAAATTGATACTGTATGTAAGAATAAATGTTATAACGTCCTTTTGTTCCCCTACAGGATGTGGAAGTAATTTCACTGGCCCTTCAGGTTACATCCTTTCTCCAAACTACCCAAAGCAATATGACAACAATATGAATTGTACCTACATCATTGAGACTGATTCTTACTCTGTGGTCAGCTTGAATTTTGTATCTTTCCATTTGGAAGGTAAGTGTATTCATAAGTAAATTATAACTAATTCTTAATAAATGAATGAGGAGTCAGTAGAAGCAAGCCAGCAGAGATACTCTCAAATCATCATTTAAAGAAAATAGTATAAATATATTACTGAGGGTCCAATCTCAGGTACTCAGTAGTCACTGTCTGTGGGAGTTGCTGCCCTGTCACCCTACCTCGGCACCTCATTCCATGGAATTTTCTGAAACCCATGAACCACACTATTTATATAGATAACCTCAATGAGAAGATCACAAAGATAAGCTGGAAAAGTCCCTGCATGCCATCTTCTCCCAGTTAGGCTAGATCCTAGATATCGTAGAGTTGAGGAGTCTGAGGATAAGGGTAAGGCTTTGTCATCTTCAAGAACGTCAGCAGCACCACCAACACCTTACCCTCCATGCAGAGTTTTCCCTTCTACAACAAACCCATGAGAATCCAGCACACCCAGACTGACTTTGATGTCATTGCCAAGATGAAAGGCACCTTTGTGGAGTGAGACTGCAAGTGGAAGAAGTAGAAGCCCAAGAGCAAGGAGGCCCCAGCTGCCAAGAAGGCTCTGTGCAGGGTGGGGTAGCCACCCCCATGGTGGAGACCATTCAGGGGCTTGTCCTGGGCATATTGCTGATGACACAGGAGCACCACATCATGTATCACATGCCAGGCCAGCCTAGCAACATGCATCCACAGCATGATCCTCTCTGAGCCTCTCATGCAGCCAGATCCCAGCAGGAGCCAGTGCCTCACAGTAGCTTATGCCAGGACATATACCACCTGCCCAGCATCTTTCAGGAAACCCACCCAATCACATCTTGTTCCTCACCAACCTGCCAAAAGACAGCAACAAGCTCATGCCTTGCAAGCTTTTTAAGTACTTCCCTGGCTTCAAAGAGGTCCAGGTGGTCCCTAGGCTGCATGACATCACTTTCCCGAGTTTGACAATGAGATGCAGGCAGGAACTGCTTGCAATGCCCTGCGGGGCTTCAAGGTCACCCAGAACAATACTGTGAATATCTCCTTCCCAAGAGGTAGCACCTTTTTTCCCATTCTGCCCCTATCCCTGTTCTTGAGTCAATCTTCCCCACTTGGCTCAATCCCCTGAAGGTAAGTCCCCCTTGGGGACCTTCTCCAAGTCGTATGTGATTGAGTGATCACCACACAGCATTGTACTCAGAGTCTGTCTCCAGACACTGCACCCGGCACTGTTAGACTGGAATTAATTTTTTTGTTGTTAGGTTTTTTATGTTTTTAGGTAACAATATGTTACAGATATTTAATGTAAACATAATTAAAATTCCATCCAATCTTGTAAGAACACCTGTGGTATTCTATATACTCCATTCAGAAGTATAAAAATGATTCAGGAGCTTTAAGAACATGAACATCACATAAATTACTTAAAGAAAATAAATTTAAAGTGTATTACATGTTAAAAGTAATTCTTTTTTTCATTTGATTTTTTTTTTAACACTCTACACACCTATGGGCACACACTCACATACCCACACACGTGCATAAACTATAAACTAACCAGCAAGTGAAATTGTCTTTCTGAGTCAAAATAGCTGCTCAATAATGTTAAATGAGTGAATGAGTAATGTTATTAGATATTTACTGGTTGGAGGGTGACTGATATTTAATAGATACTATGACACTTCAAAAAGGAGCCCTCATGGCACAGTAGTTAGGTGCTCAGCTGCCAACCAAATGGTCAGTGGTTGGAACTTATCAGATGCTCCTTGGAGACATATGTGGCAATCTGCTTCTGTAAAGATTACAGCCTTGGAAATACTATGAGGGAGCACTACTCTGTCCTTTAGGGTCACTATGTGTCAGGAGCATAGACTTGAAGGCAACAGGTTTGTTTTTAATGGGTATGACACTTCAGAAAAGATATCTTCAAATAATATTAATATTTTTCACAAATTTACTTCCTATTTTAAGACTACACTTATTCTATTAATTTGCCCAGCTACTTCTGTATAGGGAGCTCTGGTAGCATAGTGCCTAAGACACTTGACTGCTAACTAGAAGGCTGGTGGTTCAAACCCACCAGCCACTCCTCAGAAGGAAGTTTGGGCAATCCTGCTTCCGTAGTGATACTGCCTCAGAAACCCAAGGAGGGGTCGCTATGAGTCGGGGCCGACTCGATGGCACACAACAACAATAACAACAACTTCTGTATAATCAAATTTGTTTGTTTGTTTGTTTGGGTTGGTCTCCTGTGGCAATGAAAAGTTAAATGTAGCAAGATGTTCTACGGTATTCAACATCTGGGAAATTTATGTATAATAAAAATAAAAATGACATGTTAGTACTCACATATTGATAAATTATATAAAGTCTCTCCCTTTTCCGTTTTTCTATGACCTCATCTCCTTTTCCTACATCTGGACAGTTGTATTTTCTGGCATATGTGTTTGATAGAGAATGCCAATCGATGCATGTCACTGTCAAGCTAGAATGAAAAGTAAAATATAATCTTTTCAGCATTTGCTAGCACAAAATTCCAATGATCTAAAAAGATGTTTATGATGTATAAAGTATTAGGAGGAGAGAGTTTTGAAATACTATGTGTAATGTCATCCAGTTTTCTATTTGAAATAACATACATAAAAAAAATATCTGAAATGCTATTATGTAGTATGTTACATCTGGACTACTCTTTATTTTCTCCTTTATACCTTTTGTGTTGTTTTTCTAATCAGGAGGAAAGTTATTTTAGAAGGAAGAAAAAGAATATAATATGTGGCTAGGGTTGTTCATTGCTATATGCATTTGTTCTCATTTCATAATAAACATGAGAATGCCATGTGCCAATAGCATTCAGTTAGACAAAAACAAAACAAAAGGTTAGTAAAAATACTGTCAATCCACAAAAGGCACTGTCAGTACCCATGGTGTCTGTGTTATTACACAAGAACTACTCTGACCCCAAACAGTAGCCCCTGAACTTAGTTGACAGGATGGCATAAAGGGGGAACCATCCTCTGGAAGGCCTGACATGTGGTGGGGTGGAAGAGAGCACAACATTTTATGATGGGTCTCTATCCCACGTCTGCCACCTCCTAGTCACATGGCTCTGTGAACATCATATAATCTTTCTTATAACCACTTTCCTTTTTTAATAAAATTATTGTTGTTAAGTGCTATATATACAGTCACCTCCCTGTTTATGATGACCTCATGCACAACTGAACAAAATGCTACCCTGTCCTGTGCCACCCCCATGATCAGTTATAGATTGGACCATTGTGTTCTCTGGGATTTTCATTGGCTAATTTTCAGAAGTAGATCGCCAGTCCTTTCTTCCTATGCCATCTTATTGTGGAAGCACTGCTAAAACCTGAAACAAGTTTCAGTATCATAGCAACTTTCAATCTAGTAGTTAATAAACAGACTTAATAGTTAATAATGGCTGTAGGAATGTATTTTTTGAACTGTAACTTAGCATTGGTGGTGAAGTGCCTAAGGCATTTGGCTGCTAACCAGAAAGTTGGCAGTTCAAACCCACCAGCTGCTCTGCAGGAGGAACATGAGGCAATCTACATCCATAAAGATTTATAACCTTAGAAACTCTACAGAAGTCACTATGAGTCAGTATTGACTTGGTGGCAGTGGGTTTGGTTTTTTGGGGTTTTAACTCATCATAGTAGCGGTTGTTTTTATTATTTTTGCTGTTATCATTCGGGATCTCCAGGTGTGCCTATACACAAATTGTCTGAGAGCAGATATTTGGTTTTGCCATATTAAGTGATTTCTGTTTTCACTAATGAATTTGCTAATCATCATCTAGTTGAAAAGACTGACTCTTTTGTGGGTAACATGATTTCCTTATGATAATGTGTTGTGATATTTTCAGTGTTAAAAGTACTCAGAATTTTCAAACTACTAAGTAAGTAATATCAGTTTATATATTAATTAAATTATGATAGGTCCAAAAAAGGGCAACATTAATCAAATTTATTTTAAAATTAGGCTATTATCACTATTATATCAATATTGGCATTTCTTGAGTATTATCATCATCAAGCTAGGGATTCATTAACCCTTCCCCAGACCTTTTAAAGTAAGCCTGGGGAAGTCATGTGCAGGATACTGGATAAAACTGAAGAATTGCTCTCAAGGAAGGTCACAGCCTCATTGCAGAAGCATTGACTTTTCCAGCTGCCATGTTGTTGTTGTTGTTATGTGCCATCAAGTTGGACCCGACTCATAACGACCCCTCCTTGGGTTTCTGAGACAGTATCGTTACAGAAGTAGATTGCCCAACCTTCCTTTCGAGGAGTGGCTGGTGGGTTTGAACCGCCAGCCTCTGGTTAGCAGTCAAGTGCCTTAGGCACTATGCTATAGCTGGAAGGAACTGATTCTGAAAGAAACCATTCAAATGACTAAGCATTTCTGAACCCAAATACCAGCAGAACTGCTGTTGGCTTGGTCAGGGATTGGAGTTACCAATCTGTTGTTTTGTGAGTTATTAGCATAAAGAGTAGAAGTGCAAAGGCAAGATGGGCTACACCAGCTACATAATACTACATGGAAACATACTCTTCCACACATTGTACCACTGAACACTGCCAACTCTTTTGGAAAGGTTTACTGGAAATTTGGGCAAATATATTGATTATTCAGCCACACACTGTGCTTTCTTTACTGGGAGATTAAAAAAGTTCAGTTACCTACTTTCCACTAAAATAAGTTGCTCTAAAAGTGTCTGTTTCTTTATTTTGGCATAAGTTGTTATAACCTTCTCATTATTATTATTACATTTATAGTAGTAGCCATTCTACAGACTACTGTAGACCAGTCAGTATTTTGTTCTGTTGTACATAGCGTCACCATGAGTTTGACCCACTTCAATGGCACATAACAACAGTACAACACTCCTTGAGAACCTTTTTCTAAACCTTGACTAAGTTCTCTCCTTAGGAGAGAGTCATCCCCAATTGCTTCTAACTATATTCTTTTAGAGAGTTTTGTCTATATTTTGA